AGAAGATCTTGTCACGATTCAACATGCAAGATTGTAAGCCAATTTCTACCCTTCAAATTATCTTCCAGTATGAGTCCTAGCAGTGAAGAAGAGAGGATGGAGATGTCTCGAGTACCGTATGCATCGGCAGTGGGAAGTTTAATGTTCGCTATGATATGCACAAGACCAGACATTGCACAAGCAATGAGAGTTGTTAGTCGGTACATGGTGAATCCAGGCAAAGAGCATTGGAATACAATAAAGAGGATCCTTAGATACATCAAAGGGACCTCAAATATTGTATTATATTACGGAGGATCAAACTTATTAATCAATGGGTATGTAGATTCTGACTATGTAGGGGATTTGGATAAAAGCAAATCTACTACAGGATATGTGTTCAAAATTGCTGGTGGAGCTGTAAGATGGGTTTCAAAATTGCAGTCAGTTATGGCTACGTCCACAACAGAGGCAGAATATGTAGCAGCTACACAAGCCAGTACAGAAGCAATTTGGTTGAAGATGTTATTGGAGGAGCTTGGGCACAATCAAGAGTATGTCTCTTTGTTTTGTGACAGTCAAAGCGCCTTGCATTTAGCAAGGAATCCAACATTTCATTCAATGACAAAACACATACGAGTTCAATACCATTTCATTCATGAAAAGGTGGAAGAAGGGACGGTAGATATGTAGAAAATTCATACCAAAGACAACATAGCAAATTTCATGACGAAGGCGATCAATACCGATAAATTTACTTGGTGTCGATCCTTTTGTGGCCTGTCAGAGACGTAAGAAACATAAAGGTACAAGGTAGAAAGAATGGTGTGAAGATATGATTGTTCCAATCAAATCTTCAAGTGGGAGGTTGTTGAAAAGTCAAGCCAAGCAACTTGGCCACTTTCGGTGCATTGAATGAAAGGTGCAATTAAGGCACCGGAAATTAGGTGTAAAATTGTTGAAAATTGGTGATGGTAAAATTATGAAATTAGTCATTGAACTTTAGGGTATTTACAAGATTAGTCCTTAAGTTTCAACTATAAATACCCTAGCTCATTTAGCTTCAAAATCATCCCAAAGCATTCTAGTTTTCTTCTAATACTAGAGAGAATTTAGAGAGTTTCTTAAGAGTTGTTTTCTCATTTTTATCAAGAGAGAATTATCATTGTTTTCTCCTTGGTCGATCGAGAGAAGTTGTAATTCCTATTTTCTCATAGTGAAATTCTTTTACCGTTGCCCGTGGTTTTTATCCTATATTATTTAGGGGTTTTTCACATAAAATTTGTGTCTTCTTTATCTTCATTTTTTATTTTCTCAAATTATCAGTTTCGATTTTACTCTATCCGATAGCCGTCTTCTGCAACACCTTTGAAGTAACATCTTCTCGGACAATATTAATGGGATGCAGATATGATAAGATTTAACTGTGAAAAGGGTGAAGTTTTATGGATTCTTTGTGAGCTACTGGAACCGGAACCATTTTTTTTCCAAGTAATGTACCCACATGCCTATATATTACTATTATTATTATTGTTAAATAAATAAATAACAGTTAGGCTGCATTGACGTGTCTTTTTTGGGTTCTCAAGCGGCAGCTTGACTTTATAGTGAGGCTTGAGGAATGTATAAATTCAATTCCCTGCTTTTCTTTAATTGAATTTTGAATTGATGAAACACACTTTGAATGAGATTCTCCTAACAATAAAAACATTATTCTTTATGACATTTTAAATTACAAGTAAAACAAAGATAGTTGGTTTTTGAGTTCCATTCCCACTGCGACCAATTACTCTGAATATACCGTCACGTGGGTAATTACGACAATATTTCTAAGAAATCATGCTTCTAGATTGCTTTAAACACACTTTACTTTATCTCCCATTTGGGGCAAGTGGAAAATTAGCACTAAAATTTAGACTAATTTTCTGTCAACTGTTTGTTTATAGATTTACTTGAGAATATCTGAAATACAAAATAAGAAGGTTTTGGTTAATGCGGATACCTTTTCTTTTTCACCAAATATAGAAATATCATTCTCGGGTGCCTTTCATGTCGAAGGCAGATTCAATCCAGATTCTGGAGTTGGATAAAAGGAACCCTCTGGATAGGTTATCAGGCAAGAAGTTGGTACGGAAGTGGACCAAGAATAGGTGACACGACAGCATCACCAACACTATTCCTCCCATGCACGGCGTGACTGCTATAGGCAAGGCAACCCCATGTCTGCTTTTTCTTCTTTTTTGAGAGATGTTAAAGATGATAATTTTGAAGGTGGCTTATCTGGATTCTAAGTTTGATGAGATGCCTGCTTTTTTACTTTTAAAGTAGCATGTGGTTCTTGATTTCCACTAGTCCAACAAAGCCACCTAGCGGACTTGACCAAAACTGAAACATGCTTCTTGATTAAGCAGCGAATCTATTTGTTTAACATCTCATGTATATATGCATAATCCAAACAACAATAAAGTGTCCCAGAAATCGGTTGCATTACAATATCCAAATCTCAACTGTTTCAGCCTTTCAGATATTTGGATAGTTATGTTAGTTGAAATTATCAAGTGCTCTTATTATTATGGATACTTTCTTTTATCTATAAAGATCAAATCTCTTTAAGGTATCTATCTGTTATTGTATTTTCAGTTTGATATGCAAAAAGGAAACTCTGGGACCAACCAGCAACTTGGTGAGATTAAAAGCTACGAACCGAAGAGATTAAGGGGAAAAGTAAGCATGTGAGAATCACGTGCATGGAAAAATCGAAACGGAGCTTGTTTCTAGACCCCTTTTAGAAAAGCTGAAATAGACCCTACAAAAACCGACCATATATCATATCCCTTAATTTCCCTCTGCTGCTCTCGGCCATCTCTACCTTGTTTGACAATTGAGGAAGAAGATTGTATAAAACATATTGAAAGCAGTAATGGCCGACTGGCAATGGAAGCATTATCTGTCACTTTTTTTTTCTGATTACTTGTAATTTTATCCACATAAATAGAATCAAAGCTTGGTCAAAAGCACTCCCAGTGTCCTTTTTAGAACAGTTCCTGAATCGTTAATGTGTTCACATATCTTAGGGATAGCTGGTTTTTCCATTATCTGCAAATCTCGAATAGGTGCTTAAACTATTTTTTTATTTATCCAGATGCCTAACAATACAAATGTTGCCTATTTAGGTGCCCAGACTATCAACGACATTAATTTTCCCCGTTAAGTGACGTGTGTCATAATCTAGTGATTTTGAAATTTATTTTTTTAAAAATATTATTATATTTATAAAAAACCTAATTTCTTTTAAATTATAAAAAAAGCCCTAAAATACCTAAAATCCTCAAATCATATCCTTAACCCGCAGCCGCCCCCTTTCTGGCCATGACCACCGCTGCCGACATAGTCCTTGCCATCCTCCTAGTCACACGTCGTCGTAGTTGTCGTCGAGATCATGATTTTCATCTTTGGGTTCATGGGGTATTAAATGTCTATTCACCATCGATCGACCACGATTTCATGGTGGTTTTGGTCGCCCGGGTGGAGCTTCCCCGACGACAAAGTGTAATGGTAGACTTGGGTTTAGGGGTTGAAATGAATGTTTTCAAAGTTTTGAGGTTATTTCAAAATAATTATGTTTTTTAAATATATATAATTTTAATTTTTTTAAAAATTTTAAATAAAAAATTAAAATCATCATATTATGACACGTGTCACTTAACAGGGAAATTAACGTCGTTGTCGGTCCGAACACCTAAATGAGTATCATTTGTAATATTAGGCACTTGGATAAATCAAAAAATACTTTAGGCACCTATTCGAGATTTTAGGTATAGTGACCACTTATTTTGATATTAAATCAATCAAATAATATACATATCATTGTTTTTTAAAAAAGTAAATTAAATTACATCCCATTCTATTATTAATGCGTTTATAAGTATATTATCGTGTTTTAAAAAGTCAGTTAATTATATGTAACAATAAAGTAATGTCATTAATCTCTCTTTTTTTATTAATAATGTCATTAAATCTCAAATAGACGTTAAAAGGTATAGTTAGAAAAAATTTAAAAATTATTTTTTTAGTAAATTATTCTGCAGGCCAGTCCATTATTAGTAAATTTACAAATAAGTTATCTTATTGTGCCCAGGTCAGTGCTTTAACTGTTTTGGCATGATGATTCCATCAGCAGTTTCAGCTAAGAACGTGTGTCACCATGTTTTGTACCATTGTATGCATTAGAAGATGATACAGAAAAGGATTAGGATCTAAAAATATTTCTGATAACGTTGCTGTGTTGAACTGTAACTTATTGGTTATCCCTAATTACACCCCACATTATAAAGTGTAACCACTAATTCAAGGGGGGAGGGGAGTGTATGGTCGGGTTAGTGCGTGTTTGCAATATGATGAGTATAAACAGGCAAAGCATGGAAGAGCTTTCATGTTCCCTTTTCGCCTTTGCGAGGGTAAGCATTTGGAAGAGAAAAAAATAAATTTTGCGGCAAAGCAAAGTATGGGGTTGGATGTTGTCGTTTTCGTTCCGACACGGACTCAACTATTGTAACAGAAAGGTAAAACCTGAAGACATCAATTAGGCAATTCTGGTGTTTTAGTTGAACAGAATATTCACAAGTACATGTGTTTCATCAATTATATTTCATAACAATGTTGATACTGCATAGTCTTCATCTAAAGAACCGATTGGTCTCCGTGATAAATGAGCATACACTACCTTGTACTAATCCTATATTAATAAAAAAAAATTAATTTGACCAAAAAAGTTCAATGATTAAATGAGACAATAAGAACTTAGGGATTAAAATGACTAAACGCTTAAAGTTAAGAGCAAAATAGGTAATTGAGCATATTTTGTAAGGTGGTGACGCAGCCTAAATTGGAGGGTGGTGAAAATTTCGTCTCATCTCCCTCCAACAACTCCAAAGAAGAAGATTCTCCAATGCTCTTTTCTTTTTTATTGGCACTTTAATTTCCCTATTACCTATTTTTTCCCCCTATAAATTTGCCTTATCAATACTGTCAAAAATCCCCTTCCCCGTCTGCTTTTTACCCCCTCAAGAACTTTTTTTGCTGTCTTCTTCCTATCCGTTTCCCATTGAGCTAAGCTTCTGCTGGTTCCTTTCTCCTCTTTTTCCTCTCTTCTTTTCGTATCCTCTTGGGAGGTATTTGCCCTTCTACCGGGGGATTTTGGTCGTTAAACCCGAGATTCCAGACTCCATTCTAAAAACCCACAGTCAAACTCTGGAGGAAGAAAAAAAAACTCTTACAGCAAGAAAGGAAGAAAAATATCTTGGTTTTTTGCTGATATTTTCTGCCAAAAAGAAGTTTATTTTCTCTTGTGCTGTAAATCTTCATGCTGCATACGTTGTTGTTGTTGTTGCTTGAGACTCATGTCTCCAGTCGTCAGTGAAATCCTCCGATCCGGGTTTATGATAAATTCTTCCCTCAGACGCAGGACCCATCTCGTTCAATCTTTCTCTGTTGTCTTCCTCTATTGGTTCTATGTTTTTTCATGAATAAGCTTTTTTTATATAGTAACTATCATTCTATATTAATTAGCTAGCGTCGGTGTCCTGTCGTCTCTGAGGTTATATTATCCTGATATATTAGTGATCTTTAATTTGGTGTAAATATATTAATATGGCTTCGTCCAGTGGAAACTCCAATTCCACAGGTTCCTCGCAGCTTCAGAACTCTGGCTCTGTAGTGGAGTTGAATCAGATGAACATGATGGATCAAAGAAAAAGAAAGAGAAAGGAATCGAACAGGGAATCAGCAAGAAGATCCCGGATAAGAAAACAACAGTACTTGGATGAATTAACGGCCCAAGTGACTCAGCTAAGCCAAGACAATAACCAAATCCTGACAAGCATCAACTTCAACACCCACCACTATATGAACATCCAGGCTGAGAACTCGGTTCTGAGGGCTCGGATGATGGAACTGAGTCAAAGACTGGACTCTCTGAACCGAATCCTGAGTTCTCTCAACACCCCCACGGCCATATGTGGTGATTTGGTGTATGAAACAGATCAGTGCTTTGGTAATCACGGTTTCAACGACCCTTTCAATCTGCCTTATCTCAACCAAGCCATCATGGCCTCTCCAGACATCTTTCAGTACTACTGATCCATAATCATCCTTATCACCGTCGACTATCATTACTTATAACTGGGTGAAAAAAATAGGGTCAAAACCTAGGGATATCTTTGCATTCTTTATGCTTGGTGGGTGCTCTTCTCATGTTGAAAAGGGGGGGGGGTATTATTATTGTTTGCCCCTTTCTTTTATTGTTATTATGATGAGTAAAATATTAGTGTTATTGGCAACTAGGCCTAGAACCGTGATGTAAAAGAGAGATTTGGCCTTAAGCAAGTGAAAGCTGCTTGCTTGGGGATAAATTTATGGGCTTTTCCCTATTATATAAGATATAAAATATGGTGTGAATGTATGTAATCTGTAATCTGGTCTCCTACGTTATATATTAGTGATCTTCACTTGTTTGGGGTCTTTTGCTTCCCTCCAAATGCAACTTCTAGTCTGCAACTGAGAATAATTCTCTCTCTGCCTCTTCTTTTATTCCAAACAAGACAACCAATAAATTATGTTTGGGCCAAAACATTAATAAAATTCTTTTCTAGTCAAAACAAAAATAACTTTGGGTACATAATAAAACTACAATACTTCCACCTTATATTTAATAACAAACGTGTTTGAACCAATACCGTATTAAATTATTCGTTCGGAAAACGAGGGCTAAATCATGCACCTGCCTTATGTCCTGAACCTTTAAATCTTTTTGAAATAGATATTTCATGAAAAAATCCAACGTTTTCAGTATTTAATTAATATAAAAACCCTTAAATTTTCATAATTTATTGGTTTTAATCTTAATTTTTAAAATCTCATAATGTAGAATTTTATGTTTATACTCTAAATCACAAACTTTAAAATCATGTTACTAAATTTTGAACGAAATAAATAGTATTAAAATAAACAGGTAGATTACATGATATGCATATGAAAAATATTTCTTCAACTTAAAAATCCCTCTTTATGTTTTATAATATGAAATCATTATTTTTATTAGTATATCTCACCCACCTCAATATTTTTCTAATAAAAATACTTAAATTAACGTAAGGAGAGTTGATGGTCTCGTAAAGGGTACAAGGAAAACAGCAAGAACCGATCGAGTAAAATTATTAGCCACCATTATTTAGGTTAAAGGAAACAACAAAAGCTCTTGGTATTGGCCTCGGGTGTCACGTAAATGATTAAAAAATAAGCCAACTTGAAATAGACATACTTCCCTTGCATTTATTGATTCAGTGTCTACCAAGAAATGACCATAGAAAGACCCCCGAGTAAAAACAAGCATCTACACGTTCTCCACCATATATGCAGATAGCTATGATTACACGTACGAGCCATTAGATTGAAAACAAATAATAAAAAGTCATGATCAGACATCAAGATCGATTAAACACATCAAAAAAACATTACCATGAGTGATAGTAATATTAATCAGAGAGGATCACCATTATTGGAAAAGATTATCAGGTTAGCACTAAAGTTATCCAAGACCTAAACAGTGTTCACTTAATCATCATTAACTAAAGAAAAGGAGGGGAATGAAGGTCCATTTGGAGAGGAAGGAGGCGGAAAGTAGGGACAAGATGCTCGGATGGATATACAGCATCAGATAAAACCTGAAGATTCCTATATTATACGAAGGGGACCAAAGGCAATATTCAACCCAAAACATTCATAGCTGCTTGAAAATTTTCCCAAAACAAACAACACATAATGGAAATATGGAAAAGTTTAAGGTATCGGTTTTCCCTTGATCATATGGAATTTGGATATATGCAGCATCACAGTTTCACTAATAAATGAAATGTCAGTGTAGATGCCAGCAAGGGCACATCATATGCACTCCACAGCAGTAAAGAGACAAGGAAAAGTCACAGTTGTCCTAAAGCGCACCAAATTTACCCCTTTAGACTGCAGGTGGCATCCGACCTGCAAGGTAATCTCCAATAACATGCACATAGCCACGTGATTTCTAAACAACAAATTGGATCCGCACACCTTGTTTAACGAAGGCGAAATCTGCAAGAAACTCCCTTGATCCACTGGAGTGGATGCAGCAAAGGTACATCAACAATACAGAACAGTTACATATGACAGAAAGAAGAATAATTAGGATTTCAGACATTCATCAGTCCAGACCAGAACCATAGAGGGGAAAACGGAATGACGAGACATTCAACAGTTGATGATTCGTTTTAATATCTTGTGTACTAAATGATGTATGTAAAATATTAACCAAAAAATGGCATATGTATACCTTTAACTGACAACTTCAGCTCCCATTAAAACTCCGAAGAACTACTTCTGAAATGGGATAGAGATGTAGCAGGCAAATGACCAAAAGCATGCACGATCGTTTGTGTTTCACGATCAATATTTTCCCCCATTTAATCACAGCTTCTTAACCTCTAATATGAATCTCAACTACAATGCCAATCACCAATTCACCATATATGATTAAAATTATATTCACTGATTACCGCTGAATTACCATCAGGGGGAACATGTTTAGTTAAACATAATTCAGATTGCATTTACTTCTTGTGAATCCAACAAAAAGAAAGCAAAATCAATGTAAATTTTGATAACTGAAGCATGTGGTAGATTAGTTACCTTAATATGGAAATTAATGAAGTAAAGCTGCTTGAAATGCTTTTGTTTAGCCCGAGTGCTGCCAATTTTGGACATTATTATCTTCTTTTACCTGCCAAGGTAGGGACCAGGGTTTGTTAGTTTTAACAATTGGTGGATGGCCTTGAGGCTCAGAATTCGGTGTGACAAATAGGTTTCATAGTAGTCGATACGGTAGCTGGCTAGCAGCGTCGGTCTAAAATTGCTACTAAGAATTTTAAGTATAATTCTGATTAAAAAATCTATCGTGTTTCATCAATTTGTGTGTATTGATCAGTATAAGATTTTAATATTTTTAAATTGATTTTTAAGTTCTTTTAGTATTAATTATTTCACTTTTTATAATTACATTCAATAATGAAATATAGTTAATTTAATTAATAAATTTTATTTTTATTTTTATTATAAATATACAATTATATTGCATAATAAATAATATAGTATATTGCATTATATATAATATATTGATTCTATGAATAATGCTACGGCATACGCAAGTGCATGTGTTGAATATAAAGTAGTAAAGTGGATGTACTAAATGCATCGAATGCAAACTCACAAAAAGCAAATGTCACACTAAAATTGTTGTACAAGAAATAAAAGAATTGTATTGTTGAATTGAAAAGATAACACAAGGATAGTGAAGAACTAAAATCTGAGAGATTATGATGGTTAAGAAAACTGATAACTCTTCAAAAGAGTTATCTTTGATAGCCTTTATCACCTAAGTTTAGTCTGAACTTAAGCATATTTAGGAGCATTTTAGGATTAAATTTACTTGATTTTGTATATTTTTCATATTAGGAGCATAGTGGGTTGTTAAGGGCTAAACTTGATTTTTGTTCTTGCAAATTGTTGCACTGATGCCGTAACGCTGCAGGAAATGTTGATCGGATGATGTAGCAGTCGTCTAAGCCCCAAATGGTCGAAAGAATATTCTGAAATTGGATAACTGGCGATGGTAGCTGTCATGTGGCTGGATAACACCTGAAACGTGGATTCAATCTATTAGGCGATGAGATTTTCATTCAAGCTATAAAATGGGAGTACTTGGGTGCAAAAAGTGTGATAATGGATAGAGATCCAAAGTACCAATTCTATGTTATTTCTTTTCAATCCATGGACGCCTAAGTCCTTTGCTAGGGATTGATGCAACACAAAGGAAGCTTGCTAAGGAGCTTCAGCGGTCAGCGGATTACGTTCAACACCTTCTATTGAGAGAGGGAGTGACTTGAACAATTAACTTTTGTTGGTTGTTTATTATGAACTTCATATTTTATGTTTATTTGGGTATTTAGTTTATGAGCATTGAACTTCATGATTGTGAGTAGAAATATTTGCAATTAAATATATAATATTTTCGTTTAATTTTAGAAATACCTTTATTCGAATTGCTATGTACATTTGCAAGCTATGGTGTTGCTGAGTAACATAGGTACACTGAAAAGTATGAAGCCATATATTAGTGTTGTTAATGGTTTTATCCTTTAATTAATGAAAATTATTAAAGTAGCTCAAATGGATTTAATCAATGCTAAACACATAAATTAAGTATTTCATGTCTGCATAAAATTTGGAAGCCATAATATCATATCATTTGATTCGATAGATGACCAATTGCTTCTGGAATGCTGTAACATGAAGTGGTGCTCTTTGTTATTGATTTCATTACTTTTTTCTATATCCCTCATTTTTTGATGATTTTTATTGTTACCACTATAATAAAACAAGTTGTTTGTTATGGGTTCGACATCCGAATCTCTTGTAGTTTCCATTTTATTACTTGATTTACGACATGTGCACTTACGTAATTGCTATAGCATTTTTGTAGCACCAAGTTTTTGGTGTCGTTGTTGGGGAGCATCGGTTTTACGTTAGAGTTTATTTACTTATTGGTTTTCTTTCTTTTTGTAGGTACTTATCTTTATTAGTTTTGTTGGTTTATGACCCATAGTAACAACGAGCTTGAGCCTTTCGATCCAGAGATAGAACAAACATTTTGACGCTATCGAAGAGAAACTGCTAGAAATCAAGCAAACGTGAATGTTGGAAACAATAACTATAACAATGCTCTACCCTCGCTGCAGAATGGAGAAAATGATGAGTTGCTAGCTGGAATCAGAGCTGGGCAACCAAATCAGAATATAGATGATCGTAATCACCTTATTCGCGAGCATATGGTGCCGACATTGGAAAATTTGTATATGGGCATTGTGAGACCAATTATTAATGTTGCAAACTTCGAACTAAAGCCAATTATGTTCCAAATGCTACAATCTATGGGACAATATAGAGGTTTTGCTGCTGAAGATCCTAGAGCCCATTTGAGAGCTTTTATTGAGGTTTGTGATTCTTTTATTCAACAAGGTGTTCTAGAGGGACCCTGAAGTTAAAGCTATTTCCCTATTCATTGCATGATAAAGCAAGAGTTTGGTTAAGTTCACTGCCACCAGGTGTTGTAGCATCCTAGAATGAATTAGCGCATAAGTTCTTATTGCGATTCAACCCATCGATTATGAATGCTAAGTTTCGAAACTATTTAACTTCATTCAAGTAGATAGATGATAAAAGCTTGTATGAAGCATGTGAAAGGTTTAAAGATTTGATACGAAAATGTCCTATTCATGGTTTTCCACATTGGACTCAATTAGAAATGTTTTACAATAGGTTAAATATACACACTCGTATGGTGTTTGATACCTCAGCAAATAGAGCTTTGTTGGATAAGATATACAATAAAGCATACGATATCCTCGAGAGAATATATACCAATGACTATCAATATCCAAATACGCACAATACGTTTGATCGACGTGGTGTTGCATCAGTAGACTCGAAATCCTTCAACTCTATAGTTTCTCAAATTTCAGCATTGATTGATATGGTAAAGAAATTGCACAAACCAGGAGGAATGTATGAAGTTAAAGTCGCATCTCTTGTCACTTGCGTATATTGTGGTGATGACCACAATTTTGATGAATGCCCCCAAAATCTCGAGTCTATCTACTATGTGTGAATTATCAAAGGAATGATAACACGTTTGGCAACACGTACAAGCCAAATTTAAAAAATTATCCTAATCCCTTTTAGAGAAGTCAGAATGTCGCCAACCCACAACATCAGTAATATTAGTACACTCAGCAGAGCTAAGTGCCGCCACAGTAAGCACAACATTATGTTGTTCAGCCACAACAAAGACATAATTATCAAGTTCAATCTTCGAATCAATTTTCAACCTTGACACCTTTTGAAGCCATTATGAAAGAATATATGGCATGCCAATCTGCCTCATTAAGGGTTATAGAGAATCAGATATGTCAAATGGCTAATGCTCTAAATAGTCAATTGCAAGGCAATTACCACAAGAAGTGGAATAATGGAGACCCAGTTGAATAAATAAGGAAGCTCATCATCATGGTAAAGGTAAAAGTAAAGAAGTTGAGCCAGAACTGCATGAGAGTCAATTTACAACACCAGATATGGGGTAGAGCAGTAACACAGAGTCATAATTGACACGATCATTTTTCGCATCAAAATAATTACTTCTTCTCAATTAATAAATAAAAGAAATTTAACGTAGTAAAAGAGAAGGGTCAATCCCATAGAGACTAAGGAAACTTCCTGATTTATTCGTGCTTTGTTTAATCTTTGAGCCAAGAAGTGGATGGAGTAGAATTTGAGTAACGATAGAGATTTATAAATGAAGAGAAATAAAATAGAAGAAAGAAAAATAAAAAGATTTCAAAGAAGATTAAAAATAAAATTAAAAAGAAAGTTTAAAAGAAAATTCAATACGGTAAAATCAACCTTAGGTTTCGCTTTGACTCAATTTCTTTCGGATCATCGAATTAGATTTTCCCTTCAGGATTCACGTCGGTTACTTTGTCTACAAGGACAAATCCTCAGGACTATGCTTTGTATACCGAATACCCAAGTGTAATCTTTAATATCAATTTGTAGATTGATTTAAGCAACAAAAATGTTGTAGATCTAAAATTGTTGAGGCTAAAAAATTTGATGACTCTGATTATGTTATTTCAACAATAACTGGTTCCGATCTCAGTTTTATCTTAGCAAACAATTTTTCTAAGTGTGTTCCCAAGAAGTTGAATGTGCTTCAATAAGCCTAAAGGTAATTCTTAAACTATAAAATCCTAAAATCATGGACAAGATAAAAAAAACAACTTTTAAAATATTTAAACTAAAATCCTAAAAATAATCCTAAAGATAAATCCAAATGTTTTTCATATTCAAACTCTAATATTTAAAAACAAATTTCCTAAGATATCTCTGTCCGTCCACCTTCCAAAAGGTGCTGACTAGATCTTCTAGAAAATGTTGTTGACTGGACCTTCTAGAAACTACCACGTCAGATCGTTTCATGCCCAGAGTCGTGCCCACTAATCCGACCATGAATCCAAAAAAATAAAAAAAAAATTGCACTATTTCATTGTTCTTAGCATAATTTTTGGAATTCAATGTCCTGCATCGAAAATGAATGAAAATGCCCAAGTTAGCAACTAAAATTATCTAATCAATGAGTAATTAATCATAAAATAATGTATAATTTAAACACTAATCAAATTCCCCCTTACTTATCTAATGCTTGTCCTCAAGCATTTCTCAATCAACATGCCAAAATCAATAGTTGTCATTCTATTACTCACATCATACTTTTTATCATCCAATGAACCAAAATCAAGACAATGAACTGAAATTAGAAAACAAGCAAGCATGTGGCAAAGCTAGGAAATAAGTTAAATCAAAACAAGATATTCTGATAGCTCACTAATCTCATGATGCAAGATGCAATACCCTCACAAAGGATTCAATCATTCCGCACAAGTGTTTAAGGACAAAGAAACTGTTGAGTTAATCGATCGACGGAATAGGCTAAGAGGGGGGTGAATTGGCAATAAAAATTCCAGTGGAAGCTTTTGCAGAAAATTGAAAATATTTGCACAGAGATTTAGAGTGGTTCGACTTTCTCAAACAAAGTCTACGTCCACTACCTTAGCTATCCACACTAAGGATTTTCCATAAATTCACTAATTTGTCTTTCTTTTGGGGACAAAGAGTAACCTTACAAATCCCTCAAGAATTATACCATAATTCTTGAGAACACTCTCTCCCAAAGAGAACAATACAAATTTTACAAACTTACAATAAAATCTTCACAAGGAAAGATGTTTGCACAATTCTAGAACAAAGAAAGAACACTCAAGAATAATACAATTGAGTACAATAAGTGTTCTTGAAAGCAAAGATGAATATTGAATGAAATAGGCTTGAAAATGCTTAAACTTGAGGTTTGTTGCTTTATCTTTGATTCTTGTTTCTTGTTGTTGATCAATGGCTTCTAAGCTTGTTTAAATACTCCTTTGATCATTTTTGAACGTTGGGGATCATTAGTGGAGTTAATAGGGCCGTTATTGTGTGAAAACAATTAATAAAATCAGTTGGGAGCTTGTGTGCATCGATGCATAGTCAAGGTGCATCGATGCATCAAGTGTAAAATTCAAATATTTCGACCGTTGGAACACTTAGTTCATCGGTACACTAAGGGTGCGTCAATGCATAAAATGCATTCGATGTTTCAAACAAGCCTGGAGTGCATCGATGCATAAAATGCATTCGATGTTTCCATAAAATCCTGAGTGCATCGATGCATGGCAGTGCATCGATGCATAAAATGCATTCGAAATGGGGTGTGCATCGATGCATCAATGAGTGCATCGGTGCATCCCTTCACAAATTTGATTTTTGGCTCGTTTTTGGTTCGAAATACTTTGTGAAAATGATTTTCTAAGTATAAAACACAATTTTACACTTTAGTAAGGATTGAAATTAAACTTTGAAAGACTTGGAGTAATATTTTGATATTCGAATAATTGTATCGAGTATATTTAGAAAATCATTTGTAAAATCTTAAAATTCATTTATATTACTTTGTTATATCAAAACATCAAAATGTTTTCAACAGAAACGCTCAAGCCAGAACAAGTCAAAGTATTACCATAAGCTTGTGATTAAATCAAATCTACACAACTTTAAATTAAATAAGATGCAAAAGTCAAGAGGTCTTTAATATGAGTTGTAATGTGGCTAAGGTATAGGTAGGGAAAAATGCAGAAAAGAAAGGTTTAAAATGCCAAAACAGGATATCAAAATAATCAGGAATAATCCACGAACTAACATGAAACACAATGAAAAATAAAACAAGGAAAAAAATATATGAAAGGCAATTAAAATAATTGATATTTCTTTTTTTTCTTTTCACTCGAACAAAGGGTTTGTTTGCTTTTTTATTCTTTTCCCTTTTTTCCCTTTTTTATGCAGTTCGAAACAGTGAACAATGCACTATTTTTTTACAAAATTTTTTTCGTTTCCTTTTTTCTTCGTGGGACAAGAATGATACAAGATCTCAAGTCTCGGCAATGGTGTGAGAAGAGAGAAAAATAAAAAGAAAGGCTTCAGGTTTAATTTGGTGAGATGAAAATCAAACGAAGGGAAATAAGCTCAAATGTGGTTTACTAAGGTGGCGTTTGGTTGGCATGAATCCCTTGAAATTAGGGGGAATTAGAATCCAATTCCACCACTTTCCCATGTTTGGTTCAAGTTTTCCAAGGGAATTGGAATCCCTCATGGCTTCAACTTTCCATCAAATGAGAAAAAATGAATTCCATCCATTTTATGATAGAATTCAATTCCCTTGTTGGAGGGAATTAAAATTTGATCATACTACCCTCATTAATCTTTTGGTAACTTATTCATATATTGAATAAAAATATTTTTTTATTATTTCGGGTCGCGTTTCTAATTCATATATTCGAGTCGGGTGAAATTTTATTTTGGTCGGGTCGGGTCGTGTGAAACTTTATTTTGGTCGGGTCGGGTCAGGTCGGGTGAAACTTTATTTTGGTCGGGTCGGGTCGGGTCTCGGATGGAAGTTCCCTTGTTCTCGGGTCGGGTCGGGTCGGGTTGACCAAAAACCCTACCCATGGCCATCCCTAATTGGGATGATTTTAACTTATTATGTTTATTAGCATGATTTTTATAATTTATTGAAATGAATAATCAATCAATAAAATTAAAATTTAATTTTTTTTTAAATTTTTATAATATATTGCTACATGTAATTTATAAAACAAACTAAAATTAAGCAAAAAAAATAAGAAGGGTAATCATGTCATTTTACATTACTGAAATCAAATTCATCTGACATGTCTGCGAACCAAACAAAATATGGAATTGGATTCTAATTCAATTTCCTGCCAACCAAACAGAATATGGAATTGGATTCCAATTCCTGAAAGATTCCAATTCCTTCACAGATTCCAATTCCCTCAGAAACATTCCAGCGAACCAAAAGCGGCCTAAGGGACAAATTAAAGGGTGGACTTTTTGGATAATGAATGAGTTAATCCTAAATTCATTTATCATACTAAAATCATCAAATTCAAGCATGTAGTATCAACTAGTATTCCACCACAAGTTCTAGAATGCTAAAAATGAGTTTGGTACACACAAAGAAACAAGAGCAAGAATGAAACATGTATGCTCAATAGGCTCAAAACTCACAAAATTGGCTCAATGTATCAAGTCTAGCATCAATTCAACCAATAAAGTCA